AGTGAATGATTGTTAGTAAGATTGGGTAAAGGAAGGTAGTGAGTTTCTGTGAATCTTTATTGATTTCGCTGATTTAGTGAATGAATGTGAATGATGATCAATTCATGATAGATCGAGTTATTTCAATTATTTCTGTTTCTGCATACGCGTGTGCAAAAAATTTTTCAATATTATTTATTAAAAGTATAAGGGGTTTCATAAGGAGCGTTGTTATTATGTCGTTTTATCCACATTTTGTAATTATTCTTCGATGAAAAAAACGTTCGATAACTTGGCTTTCTACGTCGTTTTGTGATTTTGGTGAGCATGTAACGACAGAATCTTTTTGCAGATCACCTTTGAAAGTTCGCGTTGGACAATAGAGACGGGCATTGAATGTAGGTTAATAAATGTTATTATTTTATTTATAAATTATCATAGGTTTTAAGAGTAAATTGATTTCAAATGCGTATGGATAAGGCGATTTCTCAACTTGTATAGTTTTTGTTAAAATATCAGAAGTGAACGTTCGATGGGTGAAAGTAAAAATTAGCCTTCGTGAATCCCACTTTCATTTGGTGCAAGTGTTCAGATCTCAGATAGAACGTCTTCGTTCCTGTCTTTTATTATTAATGTCAAAAATATTTAATTTTTTTATTTATGAAGATTATATAAAGATCTTATTTAGTAGATGCAAGATTGTTTTCGTTTTTTATACTACTCGGATAACGTATCTTCAAATAATGAAGCCTTACTAATCTTGTTTAATATCCTTAATAAAATTGCATTGTTGGGCTGGAATGTTTGTTTAATAAATTATTTAATCAATGTAGGCTCAATCGTATTGAATGAAATCGATGAGTACTTTTGAATTGAATCTGAATTAACAAACAGATCACAGAATTTGTTGAAACATTTGTCGAATGAAGTCGAACGCTGATCATTTTCTTTTATTGCCCTCAACAATTTACATCGAGACCGTAAGGTGTCTTAATTCACTTTTAATGGCATAATAAACCGGACAAACACTCAGCCTTTATCAGGCCAGGAAAGGAGTTTTATTTTTCTCCCCTAATTGTCTCCACGTTTGATCGCATTTTGGGAAAATCTCAAAAACGGACAATTGTTCCAGTGATGTTTCATTTTTTTACATAGACGGTTTTTTTTAAATTTTGTTTTTTATTTCCCTTTCATCTGTGAAGCGTTGAAGGCAAACAGCCTTTTAGAAATTCTGTATAACGAGTTTAAGCGGTGTGAATTACTTCAGTAGTGTCCTGTTTGCTCAACAAACTATTCCTAGTGTTCCTTGTTTTCTTTGTTTGGTCTTTTCCTTCCCCAATCTTTTGAGCCATAATTAATATTAAGTTCGACGAATAAAAAACAAATTTTAAATTTTTAGCGAAATAGTGGAAAAAGACATTGTGTAAATTAGAAAATAAAAAACCAGCGTTTGATTTTTTAGTTGCATTGTTATCCAAAATATCTTGCACACTGCTAAATCAAATAGAATATGCAGAGAAATAACTTTTACTTGTTATTAAACAAATTAAAATCAAGTAAATTATTTATGATTGATTACCTTTTACTGATAATGTATTAGTATTGTTCACTGATAATAATTAAATATTATTATTTTAAGCTTTTTCTGGACAAACACGCAAAAAAATCCATTTAAAAGGGATGTGTTTTCATACTGCGTTATTTTTTTCTCAGCAATTATTGGAAGAAATTCAGCATAGGCGAAAGGGTAACACGTACTTAAAGCATACAATGGAGGAAGTCGATGCGATGGAAGTGAAAGTGGTTACTTTCTCCAGAAGTTACGTTATCAGTGCGTCCAAGGTTGACCTTCCTAGTCTTAAGGGTTTTTTTAAAATTTTTAAATCGGACCATTTGTGAAAAAAAAACACGAAATAATTTTTCCACTCCTCTGAACAAAAATGAGAACAAGATTTGGCAATAGACAGACTGCACGCCCTTGACATAATTCACAATCTATAATTTTCAACTGTGTCACTTTGAGATGTTATTTTCGTCCTGTCCAATCTTCGAAGGAAAGTTCTTCATTGTTCTAAGTTGAAACTTTAAATATTTCTTATTTGTGCATTTTTCCAAGTGATACTGGGAATATAAATAAAACCAATGTTTCTTCATCTTCAGATGTTGAACTTTCTTTTCTGGTTATGCAATTCTATACCACTCATTATTTCAGCCTTTCAATATTTTAAGAACAAGTCAAAATAATTTCACAGAGATACAAGTCATTATGCTGAACGTCTGATTTTTGCCCAATACCACCGGTTATCCGTCAACATTGGTGCGTTTATAATACGTCTTCAGGGTGTTTCTCTTTTATTGTTTGTTTATTATTTGATATCGCGAAGCAAAAAAAAAAAAAAAAAAAAAAAAAAACGCATGGATTTTTAAATACGTATGAGGTTTAAACAAAATCTTCCCAAAATATATCATAGGATTTTGTAAGATTCGTCATAATATCAACGTCATTAATATGACAAATTAGATCGGCATATGTTGTTTATTGTCTGACAGATTTTGATTCGAGCAATAATTTTAATCGACCTGCTTCTTGACCTCCCTGAGACGGTTCTTTGCCTTCTGGGGAAAAGTTTCTCCCAAACCTAACATAGCGACACTGGCACATTTCGCCGATTAAATTATCCAAGGCCAATTGGCATTTTTCTAAAAAAAGTAAAAAAGAGCACCAAGCGGGAAAAATTGACTTTTATCCATCGCGAATTGTAAGTTGTCAATTCAAGAACAGTGTGCATTTTAAACGACCAGCATTGAATAGAAAAGGTTAGTAATGAACATAAATTAATGAGATAATTAGTAATGTGTAAACTACACAGGGTTACCGGCCAGGTCGTTGACATCGAATTTTCATAGGCGCAATAAATAAACGAATACCATGTTTGCTAATAATGTATCCTTTTTAATTAGAAGTGATTTATGGTAGGAATTAGACCTTTTCCTTTCTCCATTTTGACAAAAGATAGCAAGAGATTAGATTAACCTGAACTTAGTTTTCCAGAAGTAGAAACGTTTCCGGAAGGAATCGCTTGCCAATTATCATTCAGTTCACGAACCTCCGAGTGACCTTAGGAAACAAGGGGTCTAGTTTGCATAATGGTATATTTTTGGTATACAATAAGATGATGTCCAAATGAATAATTGTGAATATTATTCTAAATGAATAATAATTAAGCAAGAATAAGGGAGGACCGAGAAGACAAACAACTTTTCTACTATCGGTTTCCTACTGAACAACAGCTTATTGTCAGGGCCTAAATATTTCTAGTTCTGTTTTTATTCGAGGGTTTATTTTTAAATTTCAATTAGCCGTTCGTGTATTCAAATCAATCTGAGGTCAGGGCGTTCGCGTTTGACGATTTCAATTAGAGCAATTACAAAATAACGTGCTGGTTGCTCCTAATTTTGATAGTTGACGTAAATAATTTTAACAATTCGGTCGACAATTATCCTGATGACGTCCGCTCGAAGATGGTACAAATTACGGATGCCTAAATCTTTTTCCCTCAAATTCATGCGTGAAAAGACTCCTGCAATACTCTGGTTTTTAGTTGACGGAAAAATAATTAAATTTTTCATAATATCCGTCACAAAACAAAATAATAATGCGTGGCAATAATGCATCTGACTTAATGACGATTTTACCAAAACTACATGAAGATAAAACACATTCTTTTATTTTAGTTAGCCCACTGATTAGTAGGCCTCATCTTCTTAGAAATAATTTAAAATAATCTTGTTGTGTCCCCTTTATAAACTTTTTGTCGAAAAATACGCACATTACTTTAAATATGTATAGTTTCTTAATATATACATCCAATCTCAATTTGACTTACTAACACTAATTCAAACCACTCACTCAATTTATCAGTTATTTCAGTCATTCACTTATTCCCTGTCTCAAACATTCATTTTTTACTTGCTCACATCTTCAATGATTAAATTAGGTTCACCTATGACAGTTCATGGATCTTTTTGAGCTTTTAATGACCAGCTATTAAATTTTATAATAAACATCAAATACTACTTTCCTTACATTCACATTGTTACTCACTCACATTCACTGTTAATCATTCATTCTCTCATTTTTTTTACGAGGGTTCGCAACAGCAGAGTCATATAAACCCCCGGTGTTTTTGAAAAAAAAGCCCATTTGTAAGTATGTCGGGTTCGAATGCAGGGCCGCTGGATTCGAACCCGGGACCTTCACCTTGCAGTGATGACCGTCGTGCCAAAGACTAAACCTTGCGGCCACCGACGCTCCCATTTTTCTCTCATTATTTGACTCTTTCATTCAATATTTACTACCATTACTCTTACTCACTCGTTCATATTATTATTTTACACTAACACCACTCTCTCTCAGCTTTTCATTCAATCACTAACTTAGTGGGGCTAATCTTTTGAAGAAATAATAAGTAATAAATAAAGTAATTAGTCTAAAACTAATCTTTATTGGAATAACTGATTGAAAATTTATTTGGTAAAAAATATATTCTTTTTAAATAACGCGAACTTGAAAACTCGAGTGTGATTTAAGTACCGTCGGCCTAGATAGCCCAAGTTAGATAATCGTCCGAACTAGATTTCGGTTGCGTATAATCACTGATTTGTGTCAAATTTCGGTTATATTTAGCTCCCTTTATAGGCTCGATCAAGACAGAAAAGCAAAAACATCCCGTTATTGACCCCCCAGGAAATGATTTTGCAATAAAAACTCAGGCTTACAAAACTTGTAATCAAATAGCAGGATGTTAAACGGCTAACTACGGCCTAGATGATCCATAACGGTTGAAGGCCATTCTAAATTAAAAAAAAATAAAAATAAAAAGTCGACTTTGATTGGAAGTAGAATTTAAATAATCCAACTTGCACCGTCAAGTTCTTTTCAGAAAGAACACAAAAATTGCAATTTTTTCATTTTGGGCAGAGTTATATTTTCAATCTGAAGTAAAAAAAAATCTACTCACTTCCATAGAGCTCTTGTGTAAAAAGCCTGTCGAGAATTTCGACACTGCTGAAGCTTGCGTCTATGTGCTCTCTTCCGTAGAGGAAGGTCTCGGCCAGGGATTTCATCATCGATACCATCCCGCCTGCAACAAACGGGACCGTTAAAATCTGTTTTGCCTCCTTTCAAATCACCTTTGTCAACATTTTTGGTTCTTGTAATAAATTGTCAATTGCAATCTCCCTTTCATATTCATTCACCCCTTCACTCACCACCACCAATCAACATCATTAAATCACCAACTCCATCTATCATTCACAAACTCATTTAGAATCTCACACATTCATTTAATTAATCCCACACTCCTTAACTCGATTACTGACTCTCTGTTTCTCGTTCTTTCATTCACTTTCTTATTCTTTCAACTTCACTATTCATTACTCATTTACAACTTTTCTCATTTACGTCCTTACTCATTCAGTCATTTATTTACTCACTCATTCATATAATCACCTCCTAACGTAGAAAATGTAACTTAATTTGACTTAATATTCTATTATCAGCATAAAATGTTTAATGGTTGTTTATACCATTTTTCCAATTGTCCTTAATATTTACGGGATTCATTTCGTCCTCACGTCTTTCTACTTCAATATAAAAAACGTACTAGTTTTGCTTTCTCTCACTTCTTAAGCCTTTATTTTTTTAAATAGAAAATTGGTTAATTTTTGTTGAAAAGATCGAATCTTAATGATTACCAATCGTTTAACAAACATTTTAAAATCGTCAAAAGATAGATGAAAGGAATGTTAGATAAATTTGTTGTTCTCCATTTATCATTTTTTATTTTTGCTTCAGATCAATGGTTGTGTGTATTATTTTTTTACACTACTGTTGTAAAAAAATTCACAATAGCAACTAACAGTTTCCAGGGAAACAATGGCCATTGAAAAGACATTCTCTAAAAAAGTACATAATTACAAATAATAACCACCCATGAATGTTTGCTGTTTCATCTATCCATCCTTATGACCGTCCTAATGACAGATTTCTAAACTAGATTAACTGGAATCTCAAATTGGCATAATTAGGTTTTACAAATACGGTTTCAAATTTCTTGACCCAACATTGCCAATGACTAACACTATTGATGATTATAATCATTATATGCTAACAATAGTGTTAAGTCTTTGGCAATGTTGGGATTGAGTCGGTCTTCAAAGAAATTAGAAACTTTCTACTAAAAATTTATTTATGCCAATTTGTAGACATCTTTAAGATAGTTTTGCCCTGATGTTGACCTTAAAATAGATCGAAAGCTTGGCACATAACAATTGAATTTGTTTTTTCATCCAGATTATTCGTGATGTATAGATTTATTATGGCCTGTGTATAATGTATGACAGTTTTACCATACTTAATCAAAGTTTAGGAAGTGTTAAAAAATACAGTGTTTTTCAAAATAGGCTTTGATTAAAATTGATTTCAAGCGAACACGGCTAAGTTTAGAGCGATTCGTTTACCTCCAACTGTGACAGTCAATCGTGATCAGCGTCAACCCAGAGCGCAGGAAGCCCGAAGATGTAAAATACCCTTTATTGTTTTTTTTTGTCGTCCTCCAAGATTGTCGTGTCTTGTTTAAAATTCACTCCTCTCCGTCCGGCTGCGAGAGGGACTGTGTACCTTTGGGTACTAATATCAATCCACCACTTCACCATCCACCACTACCGGCTTCCACCTCCACCTTATCTGCCTCCATTCCGTCGTATTCTTTAAAACAGAAGACGGGAATATTATCTTCCTTCTCCCTGTATGTTTTTAAAATGATCACAGCATTGGTGTGTATTTTTTTTGTCCTGCCAAATTATTAAACACACCAGTTAAAAGTTCATTTTTTAAAAATTTCAACAGTAAAAAAAAAGAAAATTCGAAATCGTTGAAAATTTCCAATTTCACCTTGTAAAATATTTTAGAAATTAATTTTTAGAATCAATCTTCTTATACTTATTTCATTCGTATTTACAACTAAAGTGTCTACATTTTATAAGTTTTATAAATAAAACAAGACTCAAACAGACATGAATAACTTCTCCTGGAAAACAACTTTAGCCAATTTGGTTGAGCAAATTGTTTAGAAAAAAAATCATAACATTAGGTTGTGTAATTGGAACTTAATTTTTTGTTAGGAATTCAGGTCTATTAGCGTGTTGTTGGTAATCTACTATGGCAATATGCTATTAACATCTGTGCTTATGCGTTTTGCGTAACATAAACAAATATATTATAATGTCAATTAATTAAGGTTTGTAGTTGATGAAAAAAAGCTAATGGCACGAGAGGGATTGAAAAATGGCAAAAGGAGGGAAAACTCATAAGGGGGGTTGAGATGGGGAGTTGATGTCCGAGTGGATCGAGGTCACGATAGCTCAAGTGGTAGAGCAGCGGCGTATCTAGCCGAAGGTCCTGGGTTCGAATCCCTCTCGTGCCATTAGCTTTTTTTCATCTCAACTAAAAACCTTAATTAATTGTCATGTATTAATTGGTCAAGCGGACCACGAAAGTAGTGAATTAATATTATAATGTATTTTACTGTGTAGTCATGTCTGTAACCCCTATTGAATAAGAGTAACAATTTACATTGTTGTCCAAAAATTACACCTATTCATCCGCCAATAGAATACGGGTGGGCAGTACAATCTGCATTTTAACCCTCTGTAGTGGAGCGAAAATAGAACTAACTAGTGCTTCGCATTCGCATATTTTCTCAGTTTCATAGAAAATCATTGAATCGTGGATATGTAACCTAATCCGTCCCTAACGCTAACCTAAACCGACATTAATCCTCGAACTATCTCTACCTAACTTAACCTACCCGACATTAACCCCTAAACTAGCCTAAACTAAACCTAACCCTACCCTTACCTACCCGACACTAACCCCCTAAACCTATCCTAAACTAAAACTAACCCTACCCTAACGTGACACTAACTCCTCACCTACTAAATCTAACCATTCCTAACCAAACCTAAATTAAACTAACTCTAACCCAATTCACACGAAGAACTCGAGGTTTTTCATTGCTAGTAAGAGTTGGTAATCTATAGGAGCAGGGTCATAGCTAATGGGTGGGTATGCGCGATAAAAGTTAGATCCCATACTTTTTAATCATAATTTGTTTTGAATCTAAGTCGTTCCGATCCTTTTGGTCTGCCTATTTCTCGCAGTTTCGTTCTGTCCAATAAAACCATTTATACTGTGAGATTATTTCTAGCGGTCAGCGAGGAAATAAATCTGAGCGATGAAACGGATCAGTATGATCGGAGATATTCAACTAATCTCATCGCCCCGTAGACCTCAAAAATGCCTCACTCACGCAATGAATCAAAAACATCCTTTTTGACTACAGCACATCATGAGCAACAACAGCAAATCATGAGGGAACTAAGTTTTTAGTTCAGTTTCTGCTATAGTTTGGTTGCCCTGGAGGTAGCTCGTCTTGCGTTTTTCCATTGCTGGTAAGATATGGCGATCTGAAGAAGAAGGATCAGGATTAAATTCTGAGCATGGTAGAAAGATTCGATCCTTTTAGAAAAGTTTTTACTTTTTATGTCGGTTAAGTATGTGACCATAAGTTTTTTTATAGTTTGGTCTTTTCCAATCATTTCGGTCTTCTTAACTTGGCTCCTGGCTCGCAGAAATATTCTTATAAAACAAGCTCGTCATATTGACTAAAGTATAGAGAACTTGCTAATTTTTACCATTTATTACTTTTTAACCATACTTTGTTTTAAATCTAGGTCGTTCCAATCATTTTGGTCAGCCAATTCTCGTTGTTTCGTTCTTTCAACTTAATTAAGTCAAGAAAGTTTATACTGTTATGTTAGCTTTTGCAGTGAAAGGTTTTTAGTAAATTCAGGTCTGATAGGTCATTGTATATTTTGTTGTTACCTACTATGACGATGTATGTAATATTGCGCTAAGTCTTAATTTCGGGGAAGTGTTTCTTCTTCAAAGTTTTGTAATAATACTTTTGCTAGTACGTCTTGATCTAGACGGGCCGAAACATTGAGAATAGGCAGAACAAAGTGATCGGAAACGATCGAACTACAGGTTCATCACCACTCAGAGCTCAAGAAGAAATATCCTGTAAGTTTTTACTGAAGTAAACCTTTCTTCATTTTCAATCAAACTGGGTAAAGCCCTTCCAAAATCTCTACACACACAACATGGACATTTCAGTTGTTTAAAGAGCTCAAAATTGACAGAACGCCATTACGGATCAAGGATGTCGTTCACAGCATCTTTCAAAATTAAAACAAAAACCCTTGAGAGAATGAGCTGGGCATTCTTCCTCAGGCAATGCCATGAAAACAGAAAGAATAGGCGGATCAAAATTATCGTAAACAACTAAATTATAAATTCACCACCCCGTAGAACACAGAAAGAAATCTCATGTTATAAGTTGTGTTAACTAAAGTAACTAAATTTAAGCTTGTTTATTTTTTCTCTTAAAAATCAAACATAGACTATATTGATCTCTGTAAAATAAATTTATCCAATTTGACAGGTCCGACTGTTAAGAAATAAAATCATTCTAATGTAACATTCTGTTGTTCTGTGGTTGTGACATAATTTAATGTGTAAATGTATTGTGAATATGAAAATTCTCACCTTTGTCTTATGGCCTTCTTACAGCTGCACTTCACAATACCTCCATTTTATTAAAAAGGCTGCGAAAAATTCAATCGCCGGCCGAACCGATTTTATAAGAAAAGTGCTCTGTTAATTATTTCTACAAAGGGTCGAAGCTATTTCACAATTTTTTGTTATTTGTCCCTAGGCTCGAGGAAAACTGGCGAGAACCCGTTTGCGGCGGAAAGAAAACTGTTTTTTCGCCTTCATTAACGAAAGATTTAACGGAAACTGCGATAATCTAACAGACGGCGTCGTATTTAAGGCCAATATTCATTTTCACACCCCTCCGAGCCGTTAGCCGTGGAATTAAAAATCATATCACCATTAACGCCAGTTTTCTTAATAGAAAATATGCTGCACTAGATTCTTATCTATTGTAATTATTTCATTCTTAATTCTCCCGTATTAAAAGGGATTTGAGAACGAGGAGAAAAGATTTTCCTATATTCCGTTGATAAATTACTGTTTAATTACTGCTGATTTCTAGCGTTATTTCTTACGCGCTTATTTTTTTTCTATATTAGATTCTTTTAATTTCCATCATCTGGGAAGTATAGTTTTGTCCAAAAACATCAAACATCTGAATACCTGACATTCCGTCTGCACTGGGCTTGCAGAGAATTTTACGTGATGTCTGCAGCACAAACCTGTATCTTCTGAAAAAGGTACAGAACGCAAATTGACTAAAAAAAGCGTCTAGCATGATATAACAACTCCCTTATTGTTGGTTATTGACTAATGTTAGTCGAAAAAATATCACTCACTTGATTCCCCCATTTACCAGTACTGGGTCAGGAACGACAAAGTTACATCAAACCTATTTGCAACCCATTTATAATGCACCTTTACTCCTCATCGAGACATAAATGTTGCTCCTCATGCATAACGGTTTGTGCATAACCTTAATATAGCAATTCCTCTTCATCTCCCTTTTCATCCATCTGAAGTTAAGTACCACATTCAAAAATCCTCGAATAGAAAATCTCCTGGTCATGATATAATTACTAACAAACTATGTGAGAAAGCTCACACAAAAGACCATAGTTTTCTTAGCCGCAATATAATTCTATCCTACGGACAACTCACTTCCTCTCTATGGAAATATTCTCATTCTAAAGCTCACAGTCCTCCCAACAACATCTTACAGGCCCATCAGCCTTCTTCCTTCAACGTGCAAAATACTTGAAAAAAACCCTTTTAAAGAGCTTAATTAATATCTGACAGAGATACTCGTACAACCATTACTTCGGGCTAATTCGGCTTCCATCCTCATCATTCCACGATCCAACACTATCTACTCTGCTCTAGAGAATAAAGAATATTGCTTGGGTGCGTTACTAGATGTAGCACATACTTTTTAAACGCTTCCTATCACTCCTTACTAGAAATCCTATCTAACCGAACGTTCCTTCAGAGTGAGGTGTGGCAACGAATTCTCAGAACTCTGACAGATTCAAGACGGCGAGCATTCTTAGTCCCATCCATGTATCATTTGTACTGCTGACCTACCTATACACTCGAAATATCATCACCACCTACGAGGACGAATAGACAATTTTTTCCTCTAACTTTGATTCCCATCCAAGCTACCATGATCAGCTAACTGTCATCAAATTTCTATCTATATAATAATGGGCATCTGTCATTGCCTTTCTAATCTAGGTATTTGATACATTGTATCTTTAACGAGATCAATTAAAGCCAGTGAGGATTATAAAAAACATAATATTTATAGGAAACAATTTTAAACAGTAGCACCTCGACTTCCCTCCCCGAGGAATATCGTGTACTGTGGAGTGAGTGTGTGACGGCTGGAGAGAAAAAGTAAATTATTAGACAGAATGGAGTGGGTTCAACCCCGCCCCGATGAATATCGAGTACTCTGGGATTAAAAACTAGAAATCAGCTAGTCAATTCCTAGTCAATACGCCTTGGGGTGTTAATTTAAAAAGTTTTCTACTTTAGTTTTGTAACTTCCGATGTAGCAAATGTTTTCCCGTTTCATTCCTGGATAGAGAAATGATAGTCTGAAGGAGCACGGTCGGGTCTGTGGGGGGGGGGGGTAGAAGCTTGATTCTATCATTTTGGAATTTACCTTATTATGAAGCTTCGTCGTTTCCTCACTACTTACCAATATTAAAAGCAAAATCGATAATATCGAGGTACTACCGCGCCCAAACTTTAGTCCTCATCCTGCTTCTTCAGACTATCACCTCTTAACGGCAATTGAAAACCAAAGAAGTCTTTTCAGAGGATCTTCGGAAGAGGTCAAAACAGAGACAACTTCCTTACGGTTTTCGCCGAGCTTTCGACAGTTTTATACTGTCATCTTCAGGGCCTGCTTTATTATCATATAAACAAACAATTAAAACATGAAAAAAAAATAATTACAACAATAATTGGATATCTTACTTTAAAACCTAATAGGAAATTAAAGAACATGGTGTTTTGGGCACAGAAGTACATTATGTTTTTTTTTCGGCTCAGCATCTAAATATTGATTTAAATGGAATAAATTAACAATTAAAAATTATAGCTAAAATTACAGTAAAAATAAAGTTAAAAAAACGTGGTCGAGAAAGGTTACCTTATATAAGTCTAAAAAACCAATAAAATCCACCTTTTTTTAGTTTTTCAGGTACAAATGATCACAGTACGTTTCCCAAATATATATATATACAATTAACTTATTTTAAAATTTAAATAACAATAAAGTAGAATCACAGATCAAATCAATAAAAACCGATAAAAACAATTTATTGATTTGATCTGTGATCCTACTTTATTGTTATTTAAATTTTAAAATAAGTTAATTGTATATGTATATATATATTTGGGAAACGTACTGTGATCATTTGTACCTGAAAAACTAAAAAAAGGTGGATTTTATTGGTTTTTTAGACTTATATGAGGTAACCTTTCTCGACCACGTTTTTTAACTTTATTTTTACTGTAATTTTAGCTATAATTTTTAATTGTTAATGTATTCCATTTAAATCAATATTTAGATGCTGAGCCGAAAAAAACATAATGTACTTCTGTGCCCAAAACACCATGTTGTTTAATTTCCTATTAAGGTTTTAAAGTAAGATATCCAATTATTGTTGTAATTATTGTTTTTTCATGTTTTAATTGTTTGTTTATATGATAATAAAACAGGCCCTGAAGATGACAGTATAAAACTGTCGAAAGCTCGGCGAAAACCGTAAGGAAGTTTTCTCTGTTTTGACCTCTTCCGAAGATCCTCTGAAAAGACTTCTTGTATCCAGCAGGACGATAATCTAGTTCATCGAAAACCAAAGACTTGGTACCTCCAAGATATTGATCAGCAGGTTTTTAGTTAGCAAACATCGGGAGTGATGGGCTAAAACTGGAAACTAAAATAAACACATGGTTTCTCCATGAATGGCTGTTAAAGGCAACATTGCTTTTTATTCTTTGTGGGTCATCACCGATCATCCTGGTCCGTTTCATTGTTTAGGTTTATCTCCTCACAAACCTCTTGAAGAGATCTCACTGTATAAATAATTTTATTAAAACCAAAGTTTCTTCGTTTTCACCAAAGTATCTCCAAACCATGAACATAAACATGTATTCGTTCCAAGAGCATAGAATTGATATAACGCTCTTATAAAACACATTTATAATGGATCATCTTCACAATTAAAACAGAAAACGCCGAAAGTATTTTTTTTTTGTTCAAATTGACTTCGCCTTGCGATCAGTACTGCAGGCTGTCCTCTGATGTCGATAAATTGTCGAAGGAAAAGTTTAGTAAGAACACCTACCGACCCTGAACTCTTTTGCGGTATACCAAATTGTTAAAAACGTTCATCCATCTGAAAATAGTATAGTTAAGAATAAGCCACCAGTTCAATGGGCCTACGAAAAAGTTCATTAAAAGACCATTTCAGAAACTATCGGCGGAACTAATAAAACCTAGGATGTTAGGATTAGAATGGTAGACTGATGACCAGATACTACTGAATATGGAGCAGGAGCAGCAGCAACAAACCTGTCCTAATGTTGCCAGGAAGTTGTAATTTCGGAACGTGTCCAATGTTGGTGCAGATAATCCTTAACAAAGCTTTGGGTTCTGGTAAAAAGCTCTAGACCATAATGGTTATTGCAAAATAGACCAATAAAATTGTAAAGATCACTCATAGTAACTAAACCTAACCTGCCTAAAGACAGTGCCATGTTTCCTGATGTTCATCTTGCCTGATGGGAACATGACTTAACTTTTCGAAACTTATTTAAGTGGTCATTCACTCTTAACTTTCTTTTTTTGTCATTTTGACTGTTGTAGAGTGCTTTTTGCAATCAATTTTTCCTTACTGTTTAGTGCATAGCTCGCGTAATATATGGGTTTTGTATTTACAATATGATTCAGTACAGTAAATGCTTACTTGCTAAAATTGATAGTAGGATAACATTAACATCAGTCTGCATGTGAAATGTAAAAAATGAGCTTTTAAATTGAAAACGGGTTTTTTTACTCACTCCTTTAGTACCTGTGATGTTTTGTTCAAAAGTTCTGACAGTGGTTATTTTGTGTGGGAAATCTTGTAAGCAAGAGGAATCGTGATGTTTCGTCGATTCTGTGACACGATATACGACTTTATTTTAAAAATTGTTTACAGATCCTTGCATGTACGTGCTCCGGTTCGCGAACAAGCTCGAGTTCGGCGAGAAGACCCACGAAGTGACCATGACCGCCCTTCGACTCGTCCAGAGGATGAAAAGGGATTCGATGCACTACGGAAGAAGGCCATCTGGAATCTGCGGAGCAGGTGAGGACCCCACGAAAAAAAATCTATCCAAACATTCATAAAACACTAAAACATTTTGGTAGAATCGATTTTGAATAAAGCATAATTTTTCGGAAGTAACGAAAGTAATAAATTTATTTTATTGGACAAAAGTTTCTATGTTAAATGTTGTGGCAAGACGACGAATCAAAACAAAATGTCGGATAAAACCTGACGTTGGGCCCCCAGCAAACTTTCCCCATTGTCTTCCTAAGCCGATTATAATTATTTGATTCTACACCATAAAATCGTTGTCATTCTCCCAAAGCCTATTAATGCCTAGTTTATAAAAAGAGAAAATCATGATAAAAAGATCAGCTTAAAATATCCTACCCGCGTCAGAGACAAAAGGAGATAAACCTTATCGATCGGGCCTATTAGCGCTAGAAAATTTGGCTGGATTTTTATCTAGGATTAATTATTATTTTCATTTTCATTTAAATACGTAGATATTTCCCTTTGAGAAAAAGCTAGACTATTTTCAAAAGTAGCAATTTTTTTTTAATATACAAAAGTCCGACTTGGTAAAACATATCGGGGGACATATTGGATTTTGAATCTACTTCAAGTACCAGTCAGTCGGACGTTACTTAGTCAAGTTTTTATTTTGGCGTTAATAACATTCGAATAATATTTGGAATTTAGAATCCTAGTTGTTTCAGATGTAAGATAATGTTTTTATATATATTCATTTAACCCCCTTTAATTTTATTCTACGAGAACTCAGCGAACAATGAACCATGCTGATGAAAATTTCTCTAATTGTTTACAACTAGACACGTGTTCATTTTTTATTTTAAATACTTTTTTACTCCAGGTATGAACATGTATTGTATCGTATGAACGTGTATTTAATGAACAGCCTCTGCCGTATACAACGAATGCAATTTGTCCAAAACAAGATTTGGTGCTTATAGTATTTTATTCACCCGCAAAGTTCACATTTCTATTGACTGACTGAATCCTTGGCTGGACCAATTAAATAAATTTAAAAACTATAAATAATTATTAATACATTCATCTTAAGTATTTCCCCTATAGATTTAGTTATTTACCCAGCTATTCGACGCCGTCTTTTGTGCTTAGCCGCCGTTTGCCCTTTCACGTTTTCTTTAGTTCGGGCATATCACATTATTCGAATGAAAACCTGATATGTAACAATTAAAACATAAAAAATAACATTAAAGTTTTGCTTACAAAGCACATAGATTATGAAACAATACAAAACAATGTTTAAAGTGTAGCCCATTAACGTCCATTTTTTAAAGTGTATCATCGTTTACAAGGGAGTGTTAAATATAATTAAATGTAAATATTGTAACATTACACACTGACACTGCTGGTATCATCGTAAAGAAGTGACTATCTTTATTTAAGAGGGTAGTCATCCTGGAATCGATTGCATGCCTGGACTGCTGGACTAATCTGCAACTTTTAAGGCATTCAGATCATGTGATTAACATTGCTGAACTGTACTGCTCATTAGAATTTATGGTCACCAGATATTCCAGCGTTGCATATTCATTGGTGAACTCTACAACTTAATACTTCAATATATTCCAACCTTTTCTAGTTTTGAGTAACATTTAAATTACCAAACAGTAGAACAGATAGAAATAGTGAGATTTCCATTGTGACTGCAGTGGCCGAGTGGCTAGGGTGTCCGGATATTTGACACACTTGTGGTTCTGGGTTTGAATACCGGTAGAGCCCATGGCTTTTTAATTGATGATAATATGAAAAATGCATTGTGGAGTGGTTTGACCTCTCGTTCATGAGAGCCTACAGGTAGTTGGACATTAAGCCCTCCTTTATGACAGTAATTATTTAAACTTTAATGAGATTGGATGATCTAGGAGGTGATGAACCTTTAATTTGATTACCGATCAACTTGGTCTGCCTATCCTCGCTGGTTTGGCCTGTCATTAGCTTTGCATGGCAAACCTGCTATTGCAGTCATCATTTTGAAAATGAAAATACCATCCTCTCAAGTGTTTTTATTTTTATTTTAAAGGATTCTGTGATCCTCTATAACTTTGCTAATGAGCGTTCTGTCAGTTCTGAGCTCTTGGGATTATTGCAACATCCATATTATGCATGTACAAAATTTTGGAAGGGCATTACCCAATTTTGGAGATCTTGAGATTTCCTCTTTAACTCTGTAATGGACTTGTGGTTTGATTTTTTTAAAAATCTCTGTTTGTTGTTTATTGTTAATTCTTGATGTTTACTAATTTTACTTATTACTAAAAAGATTAATTAGTTTTGGTAGATTTTAATTTTTGTAAATTATATGTGAGAGGGAAATCTTTTGTATATCCTTTTGTTCATTTGAATGTGACCGTCTACATATACTGTCTTCGTTTGATCTAGCTTTGATTTATCAAGATGAAGATTGTGAAATGGTGAACCCACGTGACTACCATGATGAGCAATTATCATATTACAGAAGGAATTTGAAAACTAACTTTCCATTATGACCTAACCATATGTATCATTGTTTGACCATGCTCTATATCCATACGTTTTGAAGTAGATTTTTTTAGTAATTTCTTAGATACATTCTTACTAGTTTCTTGGTCATTCTTATTGCCATTTGGATTGTATCATTGACATTTTTCACTCTTAGACAAATATCCATTAGGACGTAGATAAATATACTTATTCTATTTGAGTATATGTGTTTATAAATAGACAAGCATTACATTATTGAAATGTTTCCAGTTTTGTCCCAAAGGTGCATATTTACAACCTAAAAATCTAGTCCAGTGTGTGATTCTCGTTTTCTGCTTTTCAGTTTTACTTCAGCATAATGTTTCTAGTACATTGGGTATGCACTTGGCTTGAATGAATGATATTTAATTCTCACACCCAACTAGAACAGCTTGGTCCTAAACAAATTCAGATAATAACATTCCCAATACTGTGCCTTCTTTAGCTGATAAAATTCTGTAGTAGTGCTGGGCTAGTTTTAAACTAAAAATATAAAAATACTTATTGACCTATTGCCAATTTTGATTCCAGGTCAATTCTTATTTGCAAGTTTGGAATAAGCAAGTGGTCTAAAGTATTAAATTCCAACTATTAACTACCAATTTGCTAGTTTATTTTACAATGATTAGTCCGTGTTGTATGAAGGGTGATGAAATTTGGTCATTGCTGATCCATTTGGTCTGTCTAAACTGTGAAATCCCCGAAACATGTCTGACAGTCCAAACAAGCGAAGATAGGCAGACCAGAATAATCAATAACAACCAAATTTCACTTTTAATTGATATTCTCTTATATTTTTGTGTGTGCATATTTGGAAATTTTGCTAATTTTATAAATTTAATTGTTATTATAATTGTGTGACACATCGACGTTAAATAAAGGTTATGAATGAAAATAATGTCTCAATATTGTGCCTCGCAGACCCCATAAAACATCCTGGATTGTATAAATTTAATATAAAGTTTTTAATAAACTGGCATGGGTTTTTACTAAATAAACATTTGTAAGAAATGCTAAAAGTGATATTGTATATTATGAACAAACTTTATCTTCGTAATAATAATGCAATAAGAAGGAATTATAATATACCTACCAAAATACAATATTTGGAATACTTTTTTTATTCAGTTTGGATGAAATATTTTAAATTTTTCATATTGTACAATTTCTTTTTCTTCTTTCAGCGTTACTGATGGCTGCAAGGTTACACGAGTTTAACAGGACGGTCGGTGATATTGTAAAAGTGGTTCAAGTTCATGAGACTACACTTAGAAAGAGGTACAGCCAATTTTTTTATAATCTGCTTGTCGCTATCTAATTAACACTATCAACAGGTTGGTTGAATTCGGTGAAACGCCGTCCAGTTCCCTGACCCTCACGGAATTCATGACGGTGGATCTTGAAGAAGAGCAGGACCCACCTTCATACAAGGCTGCAAGGGCCAAAGACCGCGAAAGGCTCAAGGTGATTATTTCACCATTTGGGGACATTGAAACCGTTTATAAACTGGCTAATAGACATGAAAAAAAGTAACTTGTGTGACGTATTGATTATATTTTCCACCAGGGCTTCGAGGACAAAGAAAGGCTGAAACAGTTCGCCCGGCTTCAGTCTGAAATTGAAAAACACATCATTGAGAAAAAGAAACGCAAGTTATCACTCGAAGAAACTACAAGTCAGTACAATCATCAGCTTTGATAACTTTTGAGTTTTTTTTGCTTAAATTTGTTAAAATATGATTTTACAGAATAATATAATGATTGTACAAGATGAAATTAATTTTTACTTTACTTATTTAAGTAACTTTTTCAGAATTTTATTTAAGTTAAAACAGACTTTAGCTTATGTTTTTTAGGAGTTATACAATTATTTTATAAGAATTAATTGTAAGAAATTTGTGAAACATTTTGTAAAACTGCCTAATTAATGACAGGTTTTCTTAGGTAAATAGTAATCGATTTAAATAAAACGTATTAATTTTATAGATGATGAGGAGGGGGACCTAAACAATTTTATTTCCCAGTCAACCCTGGATATCCTAGAAAATATAGAGGAGGATGAAGACATAGGAACTGACGCTTGTGACACAGTTGGTTTAGGTATGTTGTTGATGTTTTTTATTTTGTTTTTTTCTTCGTTACAAGTTTAATCATGCAGGTCCGAGTATTGAGTCGATGGGACTCGTTGAAAACCACGAATCCCCTCTGGATTTTAATTACGAGTGTATCGGAGGTGAGCTTGACACAGAGGGACTCGATGATTCAGAGCTTGACGCTTACATCATGACAGAAGGCGAGTCAGAAGGGAAAGGCGCCATCTGGACGAAGAACAATGCAGATTACCTTAAGGCCAAGCAGGGTAACATTAACACATGGAGATTCTTTTTTCTTTCTTTACACTTACTAATTTTTGTTCACAGAGAAAGAGGAAAAACTAAGAAAAGAGCAAGAGGACGGGAAAGCTCCTGACAAAAAGAAAAGAAGAATAATGAATAAAAAAAAGGCATCATTAATACCGGCAAACTCCGCAGGTAATTTTTGTTAATTTTTCACACATATTAATAAATATAATAATTTTTAATTTTATTTTTGCTTTAATTTCAGCTAAATTTTTTAAATTTCTTAAATATTACAAAATTTAAGAAGTCATTAACATGTGCAATCTTTCAGTAGAGTCAAACTGTTATGAGGTTATCAATATAATAAAAGCACTTAATGATTTTTGATGATGTAGAACACTAACCCTTTCATCATTACCGATCCTCATGCACGGAAAAACACATTTTTTTAAAGGAAAATACGAAAATTCTGGATTGCTTTTTAGAAAGATGATCATTTAAATTCATTGCCACTCGCTTACTACATATATAAATTTCTAGTTAATTTGAATTAATTTACAATTAATTGTTTATCTTGTTTTAGGAGAAGCAATTGAAAAAATGCTGCAGGAGAAAAAAATATCAACGAAAATAAATTATGATGTTCTCAAGAGTTTGAAGATAAACTTGAAGCCTGATGGCTTGTCTGGTAGCCTGGAAGGAATGTGAGTTTAAAAGTCAAACAAATCTTCAAAATATTTTGCAAATTTTTTTGTTTGAAATTTATTTATGTGCTTAAAGGAAAGCTGAGGTGATATCTAAAGAGGAACTTTTGTCTTCGGTACGAGAGCAATTGCCTCAAGAGGAGGATCCCACTCAGAAATCGATCGAAATTCCCTCATCACCAAAGATCGTGGAGAAAAGTAAAACGCCTGATGTAGCATCACCCCAAAGGTCACCGACTGAAAAACGTGTTCAGGAAATGAACAATGACAAGCCACCTGTTGACAATCAAACCATTAACCGTCAGACATATTTCATTTTTTTGCTTTTGTAAATGTCAGCTATTGATTTTTCTTGTCCTTTCCTTTATAGATGACGATGTGGATTTGGATGATGATGAATTTGAAGCGGAAGAAGCGGGCGGAGGTGTTATGTCAGTAGCACAAATGCTGAGCCAGTATAACGGAGAGGAAGACTGTGATGGGAATTATTATGATTATGATGATGATGATTATTAGGATGTAGTTTTGCATTGTAATTTTATTTAATTGGTATATAAATTTTTTAATAGTTGTAATTTAATTTTTATATTTTAAGTGTATTTATGTATAAATAGCATTGTATGATAATTATTTATTTCTTTTTTTTAAATTTAACATAAGTATATATAAATTATAGTAAAATAACATGTATTTGTATCAAAATTTTACTTAAACCTAAATTTATTATTTAACATTTCTTTCCATTACCTGCACTTTATAGATGATGGACATAGTAGCTACAGTTGTATTAGTTTTTTTTATGAATTAATTATTATACTTATTATTGAATTTAATTATCAAGTCTAATTGACCAAATTACTTCTTTCAATTAATTATTCTTTTTATCTAAGGTCTTGTTGAGATGAAAAAGTTAGTGCCATGAGCGGGATTCGAACCCACGATCTTCAGCTCAATATGCCGGTGTTCTAACCACTTGAGCTACCGTGACGAAGTCATGAGCTGAAGATCGTGGGTTCGAATCCCACTCATGGCACTAACTTTTTCATCTAAACCAAGACATTAGACAAAAATAATAATTAATTGAAAAATTAATTGTCAATTATCACCTGTTCCTCGATTCTTTAAAATTGTCAGTTACGTCCATTATCTCAGTATCAAGGAAGTGAAAAAATCTTTGTTTTATTTTTTTATTATTAAAATTATTATTTTTAAATATTTTACTACAAAAGGTTAGCAAGTTAAGAAAACAAGCTGGCGATTACAACTTGATGTTTGTTGGCCCATAAATAATATGTACATACATACATAAATGTATGATAATAGTAAAACACATTTGTCAATCTATTTTAATCGCTCACTCACTTATTCTTTCAATAACAGACTGATTTATGCTATCTCATTAACATAAATTTCTCCTTCACTTAATCATTCACATCATTCAATTGCTCATTTGATCAATTGAATTCTCACAGATATTCTTGTAATTCCTTGAACATTAATACATTAATAAGTAAGTGCATGTACTCACAATTGAAATTGAATTACCAAAAGAACATATTTACCAACTTATTAACTAGTGAAATTTCTTGACTCGTTAAAGAAAGTCGACTGTAGTTTAAAAATAATTTGAAGTTTATTATTAAGTTAGTGATGATGCTTGTGCAAGGTGGTAAGAATATGCATTACTAAGGCATCAGCCGACATTTTAAAACCATTTTCCCAGTAATTAGGCAGAAAATGGGTTAAAAATCGATTAGATCTTTGTTAAAAGGTTGCAAGTATTCGTAATCAGTTGGTATGTTTATGATGAACTTAAAGACAGTTGCAGCCCCAGCGTCTCCTGCTCGTCAGTAACGGTTCTGTAAACTGGAGAGCTGCTTTCGAAGTTTCAGCACCGACTTTGCTTATTGTATCCTGGTATTCCGACCTCATTCTGAATTTGGCTTCTTCAGCTGGATCTAAAAATTAAAATGACGGGTTATCTTTGTAATATTGTATGATTTTATTGACTTACTATCGTAATATGTGACTTCTTTTGGTGCGCCGACGTCAGGACAGGCAACAGCTATCGATCTAAATTTGGTCGGATCTCTATATCCCTGGTCATCCAGGCCTATTCTCAACATTGCAACGGGGGTAACGACTGGATCGTCATGATCCGCCATCATTGGACGGTAAGAAACAACAGGGAAATCTGTTTAAAAAAAATTGTTATCTATCAATAGAAACTTTTAAAAATAAAGTCATTACTTCTTTTTGCGAAGTTAAGCTGATAAAGGGAAGCGATGACATCCTCTGAATCAGTGCAAGGATGGTCCAGAATCTCATTTTCTAGTATTGTTCTCTGAAGGAAAACAAATCAATAGAAAATATAGTGAAAGTTGATTTGAAAATTAGTTCTTACTTTATGAGCTGTGGCAACCATGGCTTCCCTGAAAGCCTGTTCTTTGAGCTTGAGGTGCCTCGCCCTCTCAAAATGCGGGCTCCATGAATGCCTGTCGCAGTGACAAGGCTTCTTCTCTTCGAGAAGCTTCTGAGCCCTGGCCTTTTTGGCTACTGGAGGACAACCCGGAGGCTCACCAGGCCTATTAACATGATTTATAAATAAATTTATTTTTCCTTCTGGGTTTTAGGAAATTTGAAATTTAGAGAATTGTGAGGGAATGGGCATTGTTTGGTATTAGGCACCATTCTACGATTTTACAATGAAGATGTGTTTATATCGAATATAGAAAATGTTAAAAATGTGTATGTTTCATACCAAAACATTCAGAAAATGTATGGACTGTTTGTAATAACAATCTTACTTGAAAATTATCGGGGCGATGTAGGGCCAAATATAGTCCCCTTTGTAGACTGTCTGGTACGGTTTTAAATCTCCCATTGTATCTGTGTTTTAACTGGAATTTAGTGTAAATTTAGACGATTTGTGGCCGAAAAATGGTTTCCATGGTGAACAGATGGTATGGACGTGGTTTTTATATCAAATAAATATTTGAAATAAATAGTGCAAATTCTGAAAATAGACCTCTTCCGCCATCTTTCGTTTTCACGAGATTTTCTTTGACTCCTGCGTCAAGCAATGGCTTAAAATGCTTTCTTTTCTTTTAAAGAAACAGTTTTGTTCATGTTGAACAGCCCAAAGGAGCTTAACATAAATGGAAATTGGGAAAACTCGAACATTTTCCCACTACCTGTCTCAATTTCGGCCGTGAGATAAATCCGTACAGAATTTACCGACTGCAATGTCGGTCACAAACAAATTCAAGGCTTTTACTCGACCGAAATATTTACAAACAGAATACCTTTCTGGAATACGTGCGACGACATTAAAAATAGTTTTTGATATAGTTACGTTGAAAGTCAAGACGTCCCCTAAAAATAGAAGAGCGATGAAAGCAAATGAGTCAGAACCGGCTTCAAGTAGCTTGATTTGAATTAAAAGCAGAAGGAGTCAATTTGTACAGAGAGACAAAGATCATTCTTAGGGGTGGCCTAAATTAAATAACGATATCCAGTCTAACACAATAGGCGGTTAGAATGAAGAGAAGATTGATTAAGTACATAAATATTATTCAAAAAGTATAATAGCTGTTTTTGAGTCCATGTTCAATAATTAAACAGTGATTTATTAATCAGTATTATTGACACCCTTGACTGGGATTAAGCCCATTAACCATTAAGCCATCATATCAAAGCGTTTCTGCTTCCAACTGCAAACGAATTTCCCTTTGTTTTTCTCTCAGGCAAAAGTTGTTTTTAATTTTGAGGAGAAAGTTATCATGTAGCCAAATGTAACAATTTTTGAAGCGTCATCAACTAAAATTGAGAATTGCGTCGTCGAAAACGACTTCAGAAAGCTGGTCAGAATGGATCACACCTCCTGTGTAGAATATTTTCCTGAGTAAAGTCCACTTTTAGAAGTGATTAATGCATCCTTTGCCAATAAATTTTTGTCCTACAAAATCCATTTCTTACACTCCACTACAACATATTGATATTATTTTTTTCTTTTTTTACGGCCGGCAAATTAAATTGGTCATCTAGCCCACAAGTCTTTTCCTGTCTTTCTCGCGTTTTAAGCCTACTAATTTTAGTATTCCTTTCATTTCTCCAGACAAGTTATGATGTAACGGTAACTGATTCTTTCTTTTCATATCGTATTGCTCTCTAAATCTGAAGGCCTCGTCATTGGGTACAAAATAACGCAAATAATGAACACATAGACAAAAACAAGATAAAACCTAATAGTTCGTTAGCATTCACTCTACCCAGAGAACTCGGTATTTCTCAGGATTATTGGGGATGAAGCCCCTCCATTCACGGTAATAACTTACATTCACACACCAGACTTCGTGCTCGAACTTATTCGGGTTAATGGGGGATGGGCACGACCATTCGTGCTAATAAGTTACTTTCTCACACCAGACTTCGTTAAAGCTGTCCCATAGCACTCGATATCTCCTCGAAGCCTCTCCATTTACGCCAATAAATTACATTCACACATTTATTCATACTGCCCTTGAGTACTCGATATTCCAATTAACTATACAGATACTTTATTCACAAAAATAAATAAGACTGCTGAAATAATTAGGCAGTGCACTTGAAGAAAAAAATCAGGAAATAACATTTTTTGACACCCTGGCATACACAAAGGTTAAGGCAAAGTTACAAGGTAGATTGATTCTGAAAGTATCACCATACGATCAACATACATCCAGCAGTCCTGGTCTATTATTAAGCGTGCGACTTTGCGACTCAAACCATTTGAGAGCCCCGATCTGGTTTTATAACTTATTTTTATTATTACAATTAATTAAGGTTTTTAGTTGAGATGAAAAAAAGTTAATGGCACGAGCGGGATTCGAACCCACGATCTTCGGCTAGATACGCCGCTGCTCTACCACTTGAGCTATCGTGACCTCGATCCACTCGGACATCAACTTCCTATCTCAACCCCACCTTATGAGTTTTCCCTCCTTATTTTTATTGTTCAAACAAAGGTTTATTACTATAACGCTGGCTGCATATGTGTTGTCATTCTCCCTACTAATCTAAAATTTTCAACAATAAGATATCAAATAACTTGTGCCTGATAAGAAAAGGTACTGTCAAAACTGACTGATGATCAAAAAATGGATCATCGTCGAAATACGGGTGGTCAGAGATGATCAAACGACTTGACAAAACTACGGTAACATTTATTATAATAAAAACACATATTTCGTGATTTTAAACAATCTTGACAAACGTCAGTTTTTTCTGTAAGGCTGAATTTAAATTTAAAAAACTGCTTCTTAACAATTAGTTCGCCAAAGAAAAAACATTGTCAAAATTTGTATGCCTTCATTAGACGTAGGAATGAATGTTGATTGTTTGTAAGCAGAAAAATATTTTTAAAAATTCTGAATTGGCCATGGTGCATCAATTTATGTTCAGCTAGAGGTTCAACATGTATCTGTGAGAACACAGTATTATCATTATTATCAAATCTGTTGTAGGGGAAAAATCTTAAGTTTTCTTTGGTTTTAGTTAATTCTCATCCATATAAAAAACATATTGGTTAGTAAAACAAATCTTGGTTACTTTTTCCAAAATTTTTCTGAAATTTCTTCACCTCTGAGACAAGGAAAAATTAGTCCCTCCGCCTCTTACTCTTCAGCGTCGGAGTGGTCCCCAGATTTTTAATAATTTTTATTCAGGAGAGAGAATTTTCTCGTTAATTAATAGTAAATAGTTTATATGCATCCAGTGTACAAAAAAGAAAAATGCTATTATTAGAACATCGGAGTATTGATCCGAAGATAACTAGTACTCTTGGGCAGTGTGAATGATGTCTGGTGTGTGAATGAAATTTATTAGCGTGAGTGGAGAGGCTTCTTCCTCAATTATCCCGAGGGATACCAAATACTCAGGGGCAGAGTGAATGTTGTCTGGTGTGAGATTATATTTTATTAGCGTGAAAGGAAGGGTTTCTTCGCCAATTACCTCAAGGAGTAACTAGACCTCAGAGGCAGTGTGAATGAAGTATGGAGTGTGTGAAAGTTCATTTATTAGCGTGAATGGAGAGGCTTTAGACAAAAATATCTCTAGGAATATCGAGTACTACGTGGCAATGTGAAGTACATGTGAATGTGTGGTGTTTAGTGACCGTTAGTTAATCATTATTTGGAGATCGTGAGATGCGGTCTGAAACTGGTACGTGTGAATGTCATTTATTAGCGTGAATGGAGAAGCTTCTTCCCTAATTACTCCGAGGAATATCGAGTATATATGTAGCAATATGAATGCTGTCTGAACTACAATGTATATGTATTTATTATATGTATATATTATCCTCGACGAATAAGGCCCTGCGGAGGAGAGATGCTGACAATAGGAAATGATAGAGTCGGAGAAAGAAGGAAAGGAGAATGTCAGCAAACAATGAGAGGGCCATCGATGACCTATGTACTCTAGTGAGCCCACCCTCAAACTATTTACAATATAATTATTTGTGAATGATCAAAGTAGTTAAAACAGTTATAGTTTTTTCATTTATATAATCGATATACCGTTCGGTAACAACAGAAAGATAAATGCATATCAATGTATAAATATTTTTGGGGGACTGTATACCGGAGAGAGAGAAAAAAAGAAACAGATTTGTTGGTCTGTAAAAATTTTTCAGCTTTGAAAAAATCCAAGTTTAAACTCTTGATACCAGTGGAAGTTTACAAAATGTACACATGATAATTGCTTATTGATTTTGACATGTTTTAGGAATGTAAACGGACGTTTGACAAGTTTTTGGAATCGCCTGGAAAATTTGAGGAAAAATCCGAAGAGATGAAGGACAGCGTTACAGAACTCGTCAGTTCGACGTGACAGTTTTGTTTTTAAATGAATTTTCCAAATTTGTCAACTCTTTCTTTCCATAGGATGAAAATTTCGGATCGAGCGAGAGGGAACTCCGCCTACTGAACGAGAAGGTGCATAAGGAAAGAATGGAATCCACGTATAAACACTCGTTTAATAAACAGCGTAAGTTATTTTTTACACTGCTTTATAAGGGGCGAAGTGTTTCATGATAAGGACTGGTTTTTAAAAATTTATTTAATTTTTATTTTTGGCTCTTTTTGTTTAGAAATATCGAGAAATGACAAGATGACGAAAGTGGATTCCGTCATAAGAAAAAGTTCCCTCGGTTATAAAATCAATCTGAAAGAATTCAGTAAGGGCTCACCCGCAAAATAATCAACGGCGATCCCATGAATAATTAATGCATTTTATAAATTAACAGACTTTTTAATTATTATATTAGTTTAGCCTCTGTTCGTAAAAATTGTGTACAAAAATTGTCCGTAGCTCAAGACATATATTTTATTAATGTATGAACAGTCATGAGAAGTATTATTGTTTATAATTTGCTTAATTATTGTAAAAACTGCTAGATTTGTTATTAATGAGTATCCTTAGCTTTGTTTTACTCGGTGGTTTCAAATAGATTCTGCTGGAATTACGAGAATGTGTTATTTTTACAGTCCTCTACGGACTGTAGTTTACCTCTTTTTTTTTTGTATATTGTTTATCCATTCATGCATTTCTCGTTTAATCTTGTGTCTAATGGTTGTTTAGATTAAACCACTGAATCTAACTCTTTACCAAACTGTTTGAATTTTTATTAAAGGTCCCTAGGCGCTAAATGTAACTTAGTAGTGCTCTTTAATATAAAATGTTAAAATTTTCTTCGAGCAGAGTGTGTGGTAGATGGACCAAAGTCAGAGCACTTATCCGTCTGCTGTCCTGTCAACTGTTCATCATTTTGGTTTGCCTATCCTCGTTGTGTTCGACTGCCGCCAGACGTTGGATGGTAAAATGCCGAAACGAGTCTGTCAGACCAATTCAGCGACGAGGCAGACTAAAATGATCGGTAACGACCAAATTCCAGGTTCCTCACACGGCAAATAACAGAAAAATCTCGAAAAAAA